CCCAGTGTTCCCCGGGTAGCCAAACAGTTCTTTCCATGGATGACAGCATGGGTGCTGGGAAACTGTCAGCTCCGTTCCAACTAGCTTCTCCATCTCCTCCCAGGACCTGAGTGAGGCCATGAGCATGGTGGAGCTGCAGCAGGAGCTGGGCCTGCAGGCTGTCGATAGCCAGCGGGAGGTGTTCCTCTTGGCAGCCAGCATCGCCCCTGCAGGACCTGGCTTTGAAGACCCCGGCACCGTGCATATCTGGAGACTGCTCTTGGAGCTTCTCTCCTAGGCTGGCCCCCACCTGCTCACGCACCCAACCCTGGAGACCCCCGTTCTGCCACTCCTGCTTCTCTATTGCCAGCCTGGGCCTGAGGCGGGAGCTGTGTGGCAACTCTTCCCTTCTCTCCTCCCACGCTCCAGAACAGGACCTGAGCAAGGCCAAGAACCACACAGAGGCCTTCCTGGTGAGGTGGCCGTGAGGCTGAAGTGGGGAGGCAGGTGGGGCAGACAGTGGAAGAGCATAGTGTCTGGCTCACTCCAGGCTGGAAGTGGATCCAATTTTCACCAGTGAAGGCCTGCACCCTCCTTCTCTGATGTGTAAAGCAAGGTGCTCAGTGGGCTCAGTTCTCACCACTGCAGGTTGTGGTGACTGAGAACCAGTATAGTGTCAGAAGTACTCCCAGTCTGAACCATTCCCTCCTGCAGACTTCACGCCCCTCTCATGCAGGCAGGTTCTGGGCAGTACACAGTGAGCCGTGGCTCCAAGGCCTACAATGTCCTACAGCCCCAGTTCTGCCCAGCTGGGTCATGGCCTTGTGCTATCTCTGCCTCTCTGGCCCCGGGGCCATCATTTTTAAAGAGAGGTGATTTCCATGGTTTTTTTGTTTTTTTTTTTTTTTTTTTTTTTTCTGACTTGGAAATACATTTTCCAGCCATGAAGGTAAGAAGTGCTAGAACGAACCTGGAGATCCTAGCAAGCTTTCTGAAACCTCCTGCTTCTGCAAGCCAAGGCCTGCCTGCCAGACTACAGGATCAAGTGGTATTCACCCCCAATCAAAAAAACTAAAGGCTTTTTTCCCCCTAATCTGGACACACAAGCTGCTGCTCTTGCACTAACTGTGCCAATGCCCATGTTTACAGAAGTCTGGGGGAGGAACCCATGTCCCTGGGGAGACAACTGTCAACTGGAGCTGGGTGTTGGCCTCAGAACTGCGTTTTAATTATTTATTTATTTATAAAAGGAACAGGCCAAAGTTTTAGGTTCTGTTTCTAGGTGCTGTTATCAGAACCCCAGATGACTGTCATGGAAAACTTGTGTCTTTGAGGAAAATAGCTGGAATTGTGAGGCAATGTGATAACCTCCACAGGTCAGTGGAGACAAAGCTCTAGCTTCCCCCTATCATTTACAGCTGTATGCAGTATCATACTTCACATTAATCCACATGAACTTAAACTCCACCACCTGGCCTGATAAGTCAAAAGGACACACTTCCTTCTGTGTAGATGGTGACTCTAGGAGAGGAAATTTGAATCATGCAAATCCAGGCAAAAAGAAATGGGAATTAGCAGATCAGCTAATAAGGGGACTTTGGGTACCTCACTCAGCCTTTCTGGACCTGCTGCAGCTAAAGCAAAGTTGGACAGAATTTCTGGGTTTTCTCCAGTGCACACTCCAGGATTCTCCTGTTTCTGGTGACCAGCCAGTTTGTCTGTATATTGACACTTCTCTTTAGTGCAGGCAAAAGAAGGAGCCTTTTGTCTGTCAGGGGCCACTGAGTAATCAGTAGCCACAAATGGACTTTTCTTTTTAGAGGTCATATCCAACTCCGTTTGCTTTTTGAGAATACAGATTATGTGCCTTCATTTCATTTGACATTTACTCAGTGTGCTTCAGTTCCATGCTGTGGCCTATGTGAGAAAAGGCACAGGGAGGGAGGGTGGGGAGGGAACCCCCCAAATCCAGAAGTGTGATTATTGGAACAGTGGCCTACCATGCTCTTGGGCTGTAGGTTTATCAACAGAATCACTGTTATTTGAAATCCTGATTAATGTTTGCAGAAGAAAGAGATTTGTTTGCTTTTACTTAAAATATTTAAGGAATGACTTGGCTTTTAAAGAGTAGCCTTTGAAACTTTGTCGACAAATTTTAATTTTGACATTGAAAGATTATAAAACTACTTTTCTGTTCTTTGAACTCCTGGTTCTCCAGTGCTTGACATTTACCTTTGGAACCAGCAGTGTTGTAGGGGATCCTTTTCTAATTAAGATCTGCCTTTGGTCTAATGAGTATCATTATGTAATGCAATTTTCAAAGTCTCCAGTGAGGGCAGTGAACTTGAATAAAGAGTTTAACTAACTGTATCTACTTGAGCAACTTTTGAAGACCACTCCCAGAACTGACAGGTCCCAGTGGTACACCAGAAGAGACACCACCGGGGGACGCTGAAGGTCCAGAGTACCACCCCTCTGATACTTGTGCAGAATATAGATGTTCTCTTGGCCTGTGAGTGAGCCTCATCACATTTGTGGCTGACAGCTGTGCTCTGGTAGGGTCGTTGGCCTATCCTCCAGGCAGAGTGCCAACAGTGCTTATCTGCTCTGGTTTCTGCCAGGATTAGACCAGATGAAGTAGAGGAGTGGGGCTCTCTTACGAACAGCTACGTGCCTGGCCTGTGGTGCTCTTACCCAGTTGCTCCCGAATGTGACTTTTCTGATTCACAAGCCCAGATCACCTACTCCTGGGACCCAGCCATTATCTGGAGTTCATCTCAAAGTTTTCTGAGCTAGCCTGGGTGACACTGCCTCCACCCCACTGCCCCAACACTACAGCTCCCAACCTACCTGAGCGTGGGTTAGGGGTCAAATGTCAGCAGCTCTCCTAACAAAGGCAGCTGGAAGGTAGGAAGGCTCTGGGTCTGAGAGAACAGATGGGCACTCCACATCAAAGGGAAGCCTCTGCTTCTGCTTGCCTGTTGAACCTATGCCTCATCATTCACCCTGGCCCTAAGGGCTTCTGTTCTTAAGAATTACTTAATGCAATGTGGCTTCTGGTTTTCCATTCTCTGACCTGCTGCCAACCCTCAGGAGAGGCCAACTTGGCTGAAAGCTTGGTCATGTGGATGGCCTGAGCAAAATTAGGTTCCTGAGACTACTGAGACCACCACCTTGGACTGGCTGCCTATCCCAAGAAGCCTCCTCTGGTAACCTCTTGGTGCCCAGATGTGGGTTGTAAGCTTGCGCTGACACACTGGCATCCAGCTGTAAGGACGGGGTGGGATGGTGAAATCAGTCCATCACAGCCCTCCCAGTCCTACAGAGAGGTGCTGATGAGAATCTGAGGACTCTTCCCCGTCTGCCTGAATGAAACACTAGATTCTCCAAAAGATGTTTCCACTTGACTTTAGAAAACATTTGTTCTTATGCTAGTTTAGTAGCAATTGCCAGCACTTTGAACTAGCTGCTGAAACTCACCTGTGGTATTCATCCTCGAGCACCTGCCCACACCTCAGACCTGGGAATAGTCTTAGTCTGCCTGTCTTGTTTGTTGGCTCGCACATCCCCGAAGTCCTTTCTAGTAAAGAACCTCCACCTTTTCCTCATCTGCTGCCTCTGCGAGGTGGGCCCATGAGGTACATGGGGAGAATTCCCATCAAAGATCTGGAAGTAAAGAGGCCTTGCTGTCCCAGCCCAAGCCCTATGAACCCAGACCTGCAGGGTTGCCAAGGACAATCTGCATTAAAGAGCACCAGCAGCAGTTTGAGCCACACAATAAATGCCAAAAACTCAGTTGTGGTTTCATTTGAATTCTGATTTTGAGGAGTACATGCTGCGTGCTTATAGCTCCAATGAGGGGCAGCTATGGAGGGTGGTCCCAGAATACTACCTGTGACACAATCACTGGTCAACAGCAAGTCCCAGTCCTCTGACCCTTCAACCCACAGCTCAGTATCTTTTGGGAGGTATCCAAGCCTGGTTGACATTCCTTGGGAGTTCTAGCTGATGGGGCTGGAGCCGGGGTGTGGAAACAGGAACAAAGGATGTCTAACTGCCTCCATTCCAGAGATCAGAATGGAGCATTCCCCTAGCACCTGCCTTGGGCTGGGCTCTGGATTCCCAGGTAAGGTGTCCACACTCCAGCCCAGTCTGGAGGCAGAAGTCAAGCAGATTAAAAGGCATTTATGACTGATCTTTATTGCCACAGGAAGTCTGGGGCGTAGGGACAATAGGACACTTACACAGCCTGGGGGTGGGGCACAGTGGTAGGAAAGACTTCCTAAAATTGGCACCTGCATTGGGTAAAGAAACAAGGGGACAGCCATCAAAGGTCTGAATATGGAATGCTGTGGAGGGCATTATGAAGCCAAACAACAAAAGTCCTCATGAGCTCTGCTGCAGACTAGATTCCGAAGGCTGTGTGAACACTGCTTACAATGGCCAGTCACTGCTGGGGTCTAAACTGGCTGGGTCCTCTAGGAGGGGTTTCTGGGAACCTCTTCAGTTTCCAGGCTGCCTTCAAATGGAAGGACAGCAAGTGAAAGCCCAGGCTTAGCTGTCGGACAGAATTGACTTCAAACTTCACACTGACTACTCAAGCCTGTTTCCTTACCTGTAAAAGGATAAAAGACACACACCTTACAGGGTTTTACATGAAGTGATTTATATAAAAATACCAAGTCCTTTTTAAGAGCAGTAAGAACCAGATTTTAGGGGCACTTCTAGGAGAAACATTAGGAATAAGAGGGTTTTAAAATTATAATAGCTGAAGACAGGGGCACCTGGGTGGCTCAGTTCGTTGAGCATCTGACTTAAACTCAGGTCATGATCTTGTAGTTCGTGAGTTCGAGCCTCACATCAGGCTTGCTGCTTTCAGCGCATAGCCCGCTTCAGATCTTCTGCCCCCTGTTGAAGAACAAGAAGCCCAAGGCACCATGAGAATGTCCTGAAGGAAAGGGACAGAGCAGCAAGGAACTGAAAGCCGCTGGGACTGCACGTTCTCTCCAGAAGGACATCATACCGGCACCAGGCCAGGGAGAAGAATGTTTTATCTGGCACCAGATGTACTCATGACCCAGTATGGAATACACTGCAGGTGCACGGCCTGTCGAGATGCCAAATACTATGTTGTACGTGCTTGCTGTCCTCAGACAAATTGCAAAAATAAGAGGCTTGAGCCAGGGGACTGGTGCTTTGGGTTCCTGGAGAGTCTTAGGCCCCTGCTTTCGTAATTCTCTCGTCACTGCACCTTTAGGCCCCGTGTCTCTACAGCTGGCGCCCAAACAGGGACCTGAGGGAGGAAGTGTGCAGCACTGCTGAAGAAGTGCCAAGGGAACCAAAGGGAAATTTGGAGCCAGAAAACTCATCCTTTGGGATTTCTGCAGGTAAGTATGGGGAATGCCACCTCATCTAGTTAGGACTAATATATTCAGCTCTTGCAGACTTCATTCATTAAAGAGCTCAGTGGTAAAAGTGAAACGTTCCCCCATTTGAAGATTTGTCTTATTTAGTAAAGAAACATTGTTATTGGTTTACGCCCTCTGGCAAAAAAATGCTTTGAATCAGAAACAACGGAATTTGGCTTTACATGCTTTGCCCCTCACTCATCAACAAGGGGAAGCCATCCCTTTCTCCATATGGTCTTTGTGTAATTTAACTTCCCTGGCTTTACAACCCTTGCGGTCAGAATTGGGAGGAGGGGGCACTGGTCCTCACAACCTTTCACTGGCTGAATGTGATCATGAGCTTGTAGATAACGAGGAACCCGAGCCCCAACCTCCACCACCGGAGGAATGGAAACCTACGGAATCACGGGTTAATGGCCCAGAGATAGTCGCAGCTCCAGCCTCCGCACCCCTGCATCCCGCAATACCCCATGGTCCTGAGCCAGTCAATCCTTTTAAGGAAACTAACTGTTCCACTTATTCAAAAAACCCATTTTTTGATACATCCGCTCAGAGCATCACAGTTCCTGTTTCCCCCATGATGCAGATGCTTCAACAAGCTAAGGCTGGGCGGGGACACCGAATTAATGGCTAGTATGCCTGCAATTTATCCTGTCAACATTAGCCAAATTCCTCCTAATCAGCAACATCCTCAGGGAGGGCAACAATTTGATCATGTTCCTTTAAGTTTTAAGGTAATTAAGGATTTGAAACAGGCTTGCATGCAGTATGTGTTAATTCCCCTTGTATGTTGGGATTGGTGTCTGGTTTAGCAAATTCAGAGCGACTCATTCCATGGGACTGGGAGGTCCTAGGTCGCACTGTCCTGTGCTTCTAAATTTTTGCAATTTAGAACTTGGTGGTATAAAGACACAGATACAGGCCTGGCGTGATGCCGCCGTGAATCCTCCTGTGCCCATTACCATAGAACAACTTACCGGGCTGGACAAGGGTTTGGCCTACAGGTTCGGCTTCAGTACAATGATCATGCAATGTCACAGGTCAGATTGTGCTGCCTTAATGTCTGGGAGAAAAGAGCTACCCCAGGACGGGCTGCACCCTCTTGTGTTCAAGTTAAAGAGTTCTAATGAGCCCTATGTAGATTTCATCGCTCGACTAAAGGTTGTTATTACAAAAACTGTTTCTCAGGCAGGTTTACACGATCTCCTCTCACAGCTGCTGGCTTTTGATAATGCTAGTAAGGAATGCCAACAAGCTTTATGCCCAGTGAAGGCTCAAGGTGTTAATTTAACCGATTATTTAAAGGCCTGTCAAGATATTGGCTCAGAGATCTATAAAATGGGGTTACTGGCAGTGGCTATTCAAGGCACTGGACCTTACAAACAGTCCAAGTGTTTTCGCTGTGGCAAATTGAGACATTATACAAGGGACTGTCATAAAAAAAATAAATAAATAAAAGGGATTGTCGACAGCCGAGTGGTAACAATTCCCGTGATCCACCTTGGCCACCAAAATGAAATACTAATGCTCCCCCCCACCAAGCAATAAAGGCTATTACTATGCACATCGATGTAGATCTAAATTCCTTAAGAATGGAGCTCCCCTGCCACCTCAGTCGGTCAGGGAAACGGGATAACAGGCCCTCCCCAGGGCCCGAATGTAAACAACATGGGGAATCAGATTCCACGTTGTTATCCTGTGAGCAGCGGGACTCATCAAGCAAATCTGTCCATGACCTCCTCCATGCCACACGAGGGAGCGCTACATTAGATATTCCTCCTCCAGATTCTCTGGACCTCAAGACTTCCATGGGAATTTATATGCTTAAAACAGGATTTATGACCCTTTTCCTTCAGGGTCCGTTGGCCTTATTGGCTGAAGTAGTCTTATGTCCAAGGGAGTTCATGTCCACTTAGGAATTATAGATGCTGATTTTAAGGATGAAATTTTAGTAATGATTAGTACTTCTGTTCTTTATCGTGTCTTGGCAGGAGATCACATTGCTCAACTACTGTTGCCTTACATTGCTTTGAATTCCAAGCCGACAGAACGACAGGGAGGGTTTGGATCTACCGGCAAACAGGGTACTTCGGCAAACATTTCTAAAGGACACAAGGCCTGAGCTGACCTTACAAATGAACAGAAAATAGTTTACTGGCCTGGTAGATTCAGGAGCTGATGTCACCATCATTGCTTCTAAGTTCTGGCCTAAGAATTGGCCACTTTGACTTGTATCCGCAGTCTTCACGGGTGTAGGAAAAGCTACTGACTGATATCCAACAGAGCATTGAAATTTTTGTGTAAAGGGCCTGAAGGCCAGGCTGCTACTATCCAGCCTTATATTACTGATAGAGCCATTAATCTGTGGGGAAGAGACCTATTAAGTCAATGAAGAGCATATGTTACTATTCCTTATGTTTCTCCTGCTGCAACCAATATTATGTCCAAAAATGAGTTAAAATCCATTAGAAGGGCTTGGACGACAAGAAAATGGGTGTACGGAGCCAATTACTGCCAAAATGCAGCCTCCTTATATGGGATGGGGATATCCTGCACGGAATTCAAATTTAGTGTTAGGGCCACTGTTTCTAAACAACATTATGCCTTACCATTAAAATGGTTAACAACTGCCCCAGTGTGGGTGGATCAGTGGCCCCTTCCGAAAGAGAAATTAGAGGCTTTAGAGCAATTAGTGCAAGAACAATTGGATGCAGGTCATATAGATATGTCCACCAGTCTATGGAATTCTCCTGTGTTTGTGATAAAGAAAAAATCTGGGAAATGGAGAATGTTGACTGACTTAAGGAAGGTAAATGAGTATGGGACCTTTGCAACCTGGGCTCCCATCCCCTACTATGATTCGTCAGAACTGGTCATTAATTATAGATTTGAAAGACTATTTTTTCACAATTCTACTACAGACAGATGATAGAGAAAAATTTGCTTTTTCTGTACCTTCATACAATCATATGGCTCCTATACAATGCTATCAATGGAAAGTGCTTCCACAAGGTATGCTTAATAGCCCTACTATGTGTCAGAATTTTGTTAATCAGCTGCTTTCACAATTGCGTATTCAGTTCCCGCAAGCATTGATTAACCATTACATGAATGATATTCAAACGCCTACACAAGTAGAAGATCTTTATCTTTATTATTAGGCCCAAATACGGCCTAATAATAGGAGAGGAAAAGGTGCAAAACCAAGATCCCTTCCTTTATCTTGGTGTAAAAATTCACAAGGTAACCATCATTCGCCAAAAAGTACAGATTCACCGAGATAATTTGAAAACTTTAAATGATTTCCAGAAGTTACTAGGTGATATAAATTGGTTGTGACCTGCTTTGGGAATCCAACTTATACCTTATCTTTTCCAAACATTAGCCGTGATCCCAACCTTAACAGCCCTACCCAAAAAGCTGAATTAGCAGCCGTTATAGAATTGTTGCATCTTGTACCTGCTTCCCTCAATGTTGTGACAGATTCACTATATGTATGGTTCATAGTCCTAAATATTGAAACTGCACATATTGTTTCACAAAATGAATTACATTATCTGTTTTTGCATTTACAAGAATTAATACAGATGGCATAGGCAACATCCTTTATATATCACTCATACTTGCAGTCATTCTAACCTTCCTGGCCCATTAGCCTTAGGAAATTCCACTGCTGATGACTTATTACAAGGCACTTTACAGATGACACAACAGGAGCATATGCTTCACCATACTAATGCTCGAGGACTCGCCCACAGACACACTATAACACATGCTGAGTCAAAAGACATCGTTAGTGCCTGTCCTTCTTGCAAGCCCCTCACTATGGCTCCATATACTTCTCAACGTTTTATTTATTTTTGGGACAGAGAAAGACAGAGCATGAACGGGGGAGGGGCAGAGAGAGAGGGAGACACAGAATCGGAAACAGGCTCCAGGCTCTGAGCCATCAGCCCAGAGCCTGACGCGGGGCTCGAACTCACAGACCGCGAGATCGTGACCTGGCTGAAGTCGGACGCTTAACCGACTGCGCCACCCAGGCGCCCCTGGCTCCATATACTTCTCGAGTGAATCCTCATAGACTATGGGCAAATGAACTTTGGCAATCTGATGTTACCCATATTCCTGCTTTTGGTAAGCTCTCTTATGTACATGTTACTGCGGATACCTTCTCCGGATATATCTGGGCCACAGCATGTACAGGAAAAAAGGCTATACATTAAAAGTGATAATGGCCCTGCATACATATCTCATAAGGTAGACCGCTGCTTTGCAGCACAACAAATTACTCATCTTACTGGCATTCCCTGTAACCCTCAAGATCAAGGGATCATAGAACATACTCATTGGGTACTTAAAAACATGTTAATTAAACAAAAAGGGGGAGAAGAAGGACTTAGACTACGCCACGGGAACAATTACATCGTGCCTTATATACTTTAAATTTCTTGGACATACAAGTACCCCATACATGTCCTGCTGCTAAGGTACACTGGCACAAGCAAAACGTCACCCCTGTTCATCAACCGGTATATTGGAAAGATGAGAAGGGACACTGGGAAAAGGGAGAGGTGGTTGTGTGGGGCAAAGGGTATGCTTATGTCTCTATGGATCAAGGCTACCAGTGGTTACCCAGTAGCCGGTTGAAACCCAGGAATAAGCCAATCCAAGTGACCTTGGTTAGACATAATCCCACCAAAGAGTTTCACAGAATGTCCATCGGGAAACTGATAATTTGTGCCTAATGTGCCATGCCCTCTCCTCAGGCGCACTAGGACCGCTCAGCCTCCTACCTGGGGACAAGTTAAGAGGTTGACACATGATGCTGAAAAATACTGATGCAGACTCGCAGCCCGCAAACTCCTGCTCACCTTTTCCTTGCGATGCTTGCGGTTATCACTACTACAGTAAACACTGATAACTATACTTACTGGGCTTATATCCCTCATCCACCTCTCAATCAGGGCATAAATTGGTATGACTCCCCCGTGCCGGTATATACAAATGACACGGAATGGACACCTGGGCCATTTGACAGCAGAGGACCACATAGGCCAAATGAAGAAGGTCCTGTTATGGATAATTACACTATAGGGATCGAGTGTCCTCCTTATGTTTTGGTTACGGGCAACACTGCCTCAAGAGTAAGCCTCAAGTATGACTATCTATTATTACAAATGGGACCCAACACAAACATTTTCTTACTATCAGCCCATTCTCTGATTGACTCCAGTCTTACAATTATTGACACTCCTCCAATGCTTCTATCTTATGCTACTCGCACATTGTCAGAATGACAGATGCGTGACTTGGGACGTATATAGAAGGGAAATAGGGTGAGTTCTTTTAAATGCTTCCTATGGAAGCGTCATTCATTAAAGCCCTATGGGCTCAGCTTGCCTTAAAAATTCGTTACAAAATCTACGGTGGTGTGTTCATAATCAAACTATCAGCACCACTGCTAATGGCTCAATCATTTGGCATGGTGGGGGAATTTCCGCACCCAGTCATTTACAATGACTGTTACAGAAGCATATAGGGAAATTAACTCCTATCCGTCACCCTTTACATACCTGGAAGGGCACATATTATAAAAACAGCTCCAGCAATATTTCTACTTTATCCTTCACAGTCAATAGTACCCAGTACATACGGGCTTGTGTCCGTTTGCCATACATACTACTGAAAGGACGGATAGTTTGGAATGATTCTGAGACCCTTATAACTTGTGTTAACTGCTCATTACACACCTGTCTTAACAATTCTATACCCTTTAATATGTCATCCAAAAGCCTGTATTTACTTAGAGCGTGCACTGGCCTGTGGCTGCTGATTCACATGTCTCAACCATGGCAGTACTCTCCAGAAACGTGTCTGATGGACCATCTGCAAGCAGAAATATGTGAGACTTTCAAAACAAATCTGGACATGTTATCCAGTTCTAAGATCTTAGAAAGTATATCAGAGGGATTGGGGAAATTAAACCCTAAAGAGCGTATTAGTATTTTTAATTTCTCTACTGCTATTCTGTTTGTATTAATATGCAGCGTATTTATCCTTGCATGTGCAGTCTGGTACCGGGGACAACGAGCCTGTCAATGTACCGATGGACACCTCAGGTTATACAATGTCCTCCTACAGGCCGTTGTATACAAACAAAAAGGGGGAGATGTTGGAGAACAAGAAGCTGGAGGCACCGTGAGAATGTCCTGAAGGAAAGGGACGGAGCAGCAGGAACTGAAAGCCGCCGGGACTGCACGTCCTCTCCAGAAGGGACATCATACCGGCACCAGGCCAGGGATAAGAATGTTTTGTCTGGCGCCAGACGTACTCATGACCCAGTATGGAATACACTGCAGGTGCACGGCCTGTCAAGATGCCAAATACCATGTTGTACGTGCTTGCTGTCATCAGACAAATTGCAAAAATAAAAGAGGCTTGAGCCAGGGGACTGGTACTTCGGGCTCCTGGAGAGTCTTAGCCCCCTGCTTCGTAATTCTCTCATCACTGGACCTTTAGGCCCCGTCTCTCTACAGTGCCCCCTCCCTCTGTCCCTCCCCCACTTGCACTCTCTCAAAAATAAATAAAACATTAAAAAAATTATAACAGCTGAAGATAAAGTACCAAGACCAGAAAATGCCCAGTGCCCACCCCACAACATGCCTGTGATCCTGTTCTGAGTCATCACCTCACATGACCAAATTAGGCCTGCCCCAGAGACTGGCCACACAGTGTGTAGCCCAGTGCTTGGCACACAGTAGAGTGGTATTCAGCAGTCCCCCAGTCTCAGAAAGCAGATTTGGGGGCCCTGGGTTCCTTTCAGGGCAAGCAATCTGAAGATGCAGTGAAGACCAGTCACAAGGAGGCAGCAGTGCAGCTACCTGCCCTCTGGCCATCAAACCACAGGGTAGGCCCATGGACAACCAGTCTGCCAACCTCCAGCCTCGGAGTGGGGCTAGTGTTGGCAAGACAGACCCCTCTGAGCAGTCCAGGGTTGCTGGCAGGCTTCTGTGGAAGGGTTAATGCTGTGCAGAAAACCAAGGCAGAGCAATGGAACTGAACAAGTGAGAAGAGGAGGGAGGCCACAACTAAGAGGGCATGGCAATGTGGCACACAAAGGGCTGGACGGCCTCTGCCCTGGTTGAGTTGGTTTTCACAGGGGCAGTCCCAGGGCTTGGCTGGGAGGGGAAACACATAACCGTCAGAGAAATAAAATAGCCTTATTTTATTATGTACATATTATATGTAAACAAACCACCCACTCTGAAAACATTAGGTTCTGGCTTTTCCCAGGGCCCTAAGAAACCTCATGGAGACTGTTCCTTCCCCAGAGAGGGGAGCGTGTATGTGTGTGTGTGTGTGTGCGTGTGTGACCTTTTGATTCCATGGGGTTTGGCCAGCCTCATCTAGCCACATGCCCCTTCTTGCCTTAAACCCTGGCTTCCAGTTTCTTTGGTCCAGGAGGAGGCCTCAGCCTGGGGCAGGCATAAGCCACTCACTCAACTTCCATCTTATTCTTCTGCAAAGAATCAATGAAGGCTTGCCACTCCACTGGGTAAAAACGCTTATAGACGTTGATCTTATTCCGAATCTGTTTCGGGGTATCTTGATAGTAATTCTTCTCATCCCGAGCCATAGCCTAAGAAAGGAGAAGGGCCACTTGAGGAGGGCTGGACAGGCACAGTTCAACCCCTAGTTCTGCCTGAGTTGGGCAAGCCACCTCATATCCCCGAGGTTCAGGTTCCTCACCTCAAAAACCATGGTGTATGTGGGGAAATGGGTGCAAATGCCCTCGGGGACCAGGCAGGAGCTAGGGCCAGAGGAATAGCTAATGCTCCATCTACAGCCATTGATCCCACTTGGGCACCAGAGTCCAGTGCAGCCAGATTTTTCAATTTTTAAGAGAAGTCAAAAACGTGAATTTTTATTTGAAACCTCCCATAATTAAAATAGCAACTAGTTCAAGTTCTTTAAAAATACCATGCAAACAAAACAGCATATCTGTGAGTGGGATATGAATCACAGGCCAGTCAGTCTATCCCAGCTATAAGCATCTGTCAATGAGATCAATTTCCTTAAGTCTCTCTTTCCTTTCTTTGTTTCAACTCAGTCTCAGGCAAGAGTCAAGAAGATCAGACCCCAAGTTGTCCAGGGTACCTTCCCAACAGACTCAAGTGGTTCTTCCCGTGGGGCCCAAACTACTCACCTTATAGTCCTCACCATGATTCTCCACCATGTAACGTACATAGTCAATCAAGTCTCGGGACAGCGTATTTCCTTTCTTTTCTGGGAGGCTGGCTTCTGCCTCCAGGTCTGGGGTGAGAGAAGCCAAGAAACAGGAAAAGAGGTTTTGCCTCCTGTACTTTTTGGTTGCCCAGTCATTCTTTCACCTAATCCCAAACCATGGCCATCAGATGGCCATCAGGCTTTGCCTCTTCATCCCCAATTCGGTACTCTTCAGCCCCTTGGATCTCAGGCTGTGCCTATGACACAACCATCTATCAGTTTTACAACTACCTAAAAGGCAAGTCTTATCTCTTTGGGTCTAAGCTTGGTAAGAGACAGGTACCAAACTAATAATCTCTACTTAGTACCAGGTCGTGGGGACAGAAATGAAGATACATTGCCTACCAGAGGTTGGGACTCCCTTCCATCTCTAAAATTTCCCGAGAATTTCTTTTCTTTAAGTGTTACAACAATAATGTGAAATGGAAAGGTGTGAATGAGAACTAACGCCGCAGGAACCAGGGCCTGAGGCTGGGTCTCACTGGAACCTCACTGCTCTATGTAAGGTAAAAAGCCAAGCTGTGGAGGCAATTATGGCTTCGCTTTTAAAACAGCTAAGCAGGGGGGACTGGGTGGCTCTGTCGGTTAGACATCCGACTTGGGCTCAAGTCATGGCCTCATGGTTCATGAGTTCAAGCCTGGCATTGGGCTTGCTGCTGTCAGCACAGAACCCACTTCAGATCCTCTGTCCCCCATTCTCTCAGTCCCTCCCCTGCTGATTCCCTCTCCTTTCTTTCAAAATAAATTTAAAAACTTAAAAAAAAAATAAAATAAAATCGTTAGGCAAACACTCCCCATTTCTCAATGTGAAAAATAGCTCACAGAAAGAAGGTGGTCAAATGTTATTAAAGGGTTAAATGCTAAATTGCTTATGGTCAAGAATATCTTTGACTTGGTTGCCAGGGGCAAGGTTGGGGTGGGGAGACAGGAACAAGGGGATTAGTTGTTTAATGGGTAGAGTTTCAGTTTTGAAGATGAAAAAGTTCTGGAGATCTGCTACATGACAACATAAACATACTTAACATTACTGAGCTATTTAATGAAAAATGATTAAGATAGTAAACTTTATGTATTATGTTTTTTACCATAATTTAAAAAAATTTTTTAGAGAATGAGAAGTAAAACTTTTTAAGATTAACTCTGACTACAATAAGTACACCTGGTTTTATTTATGCAATCCTGTGTACTAATTCTTACGAGAATCACTGATGAACTAATAATAGGAACTCAAGAATTCTCTATGTAATGTCTGGCCATTTAAAACCCTTTTACCTTAAAGGTGCCTCCTTAGCACAGTAGGTAGCGCGTCAGTCTCATAAAACCCTTTTACCTTCAGGAGAACTGTTAAAAATCTTGGACAGGTAAGAAGGATGGGTGGAGAATTTCAGAGTATACCTGCTTCCCTGCAGATTTTACTCTGCTCTATTTTAATATTCAGCCTCTATAGCCTTAATATACATAAAATTGACTTGTCAATGAAAAGATTAAATGAGATGGTGGAATCTCTATAAAAATCTGTTTGTCCTTAAATTCATGACAAGCTGAACATGTGCCTGAGACTTAATGGTTTCTTTTCTATTCTCTTAAGGCACCTGGCTACATCCTCCCTGAACATCTCTGACCTCACTTCACACACTGGAGTTTAGTAAGTAGACTGAAAATGTCCCAGTTAGAGACGCAGTATTAACTTTGTGAACCCTGGACCAGTTCCCTTCTTCCCTCTGAACCTCAGTTTCTCCATCTGTAAAATGAAGACATCTGAGGCCCTTTTTAGCCCTGGCTGTGCAGGATAGTGACCTAGAGGAATGTGACCAGCACTCACCATTTAGCACATAGGGTTTTCGCACAAGCTCCTTAGGCCTTTCCTCTACATCAATGTCCATGGCCTTCACCTGAAGAGAACAGAAGTTGTGAGACCAGTATACAAAGGAAGGATCCCAGATGAGGGAAAATTCTAGAGGTTCCTGCCCTCCTCACACAACTGCACTACCCACAAAAATCCCTACACAAGTTCAGGCAGGAAGAAATGACAGAGAGAACCATTGCCCCAGAGGCTTTATGGTTCCCCAAAGGGATTCAAGCAAGCAATTAATCTTTCTGTGCCTATCTATAAAATCAGCATAATATCCTTTGCCTACCTCACCTCATCTGTGCTAATCAAGTGAAACAATGCATATGAAAGCTCTTCATAATTTACACTGAGGAGCAGATGACTTTTTTTTTTTTTTAGATGACTTCTTTTCTATGAAGACGAGCAACCTGACAGTGCTTACCAATAGCCTCACATTTATTTGATCAAGAAACAGTAGTGCCATTTTACTCTGGCATGAAGGAATAAAAAGAAACCTGTCTAAAAGCAATGGGACAAAGAACCATAAAATACCTCGGAATAAACCTAACCAAAGATGTAAAAGACCTATATGTTGAAAACTAAAGAAAGCTTATGAAGGAAATTGAAGAAGACACAAAGAAATGGAAAAACTTTCCATGCTCATGGATTGGAGGAATAAATATTGTTAAAATGTCAATACTACCCAAAGCAATCTACATATTCAATGCAATCCCAATCAAAATTGCACTGGCATTCTTCTCAAAGCTAGAACAAACAATCCTAAAATTTGTATGGAACCACAAAAGACCCCATACAGCCCAAGTAATATTGAAGAAAAACCAAAGCAGGAGGCATCATAATCCCAGACTTTAGCCTCTACTACAAAGCTGTAATCAAGACAGTATGGTATTGGCACAAAAACAGCCACATAGACCAATGGAATAGAATAGAGAACCCAGAATTGGACCCACAAATGTATGGCCAACTAATCTTTGACAAAGCAGGAAAGAGCATCCAGTGGAAAAAAGACAGTCTCTTTAGCAAATGTTGCTGGGAGAACTGGACAGCAACAGCAGAAGAATGAAACTAGACCACCTTCTTTACAGCATACACAAAAATAAACTCAAAATAGACCTAAATGTGAGACAGGAAACCATCAAAACCCTGGAGGAGAAAGCAGGCCAACAACCTCTTTGACCTCAGCCGCAGCAATTTCTTACTTGACACATTTCCAAAGGCAAGGGAATTAAAAGCAAAAATGAACTATTGGGACCTCATAACAATAAAGCGCTTCTGCACTGCAAACGAAACAACCAACATAACTAAAAGACAACCGATGGAATGGGGAAAGATATTTGCAAATGACATCGGACAAAGGGCTAGTATCTATGAAGAACTTACCAAACTCAACACCCAAAAACCAAATAATCCAGTGAAGAAATGGGCAGAAGACATGAATAGACACTTTTCCAAAGAAGACATCCAGATGGTCAACAGACACATGAAAAGATGCTCAACGTCACTCAGCATCAGGGAAATACAAATCAAAGCCACAGTGAGATACCACCTCACACCGGTCTGAGTGGCTAAAATGAACAAATCGGGAAACTACAGACGCTGGTGAGGATGTGGGAAAACAGGAACCCTCTTGCACTGTTGGTGGGAATGCAAACTGGTGCAGCTGCTCTGGAAACAGTGTGGAGGTTCCTCAAAAAATTAAAAATAGAGCTAACCTATGACCCAGCAATAGCACTGCTAGGAATTTACCCAAGGGACACAGGAGTGCTGATGCATAGGGGCACATATACCCCAATGTTTATAGCAGCACTTTCAACAATAGCCAAATTATGGAAAGAGCCTAAATGTTCATCAACTGATGAATGGATAAAGAAGATGTGGTTTATATATTCAATGGAATACTAGTTGGCAATGAGAAAGAATGAAATCATGCCATTTGCAGCAATGTGGATGGAACTGGAAGGTATTATGCTGAGTGAAATAAGTCAGTCAGAGGACAGATATCTTATGTTTTCATGTATATGTGGATCTTGAGAAATTGAACAGAAGACCATGGGAGAAGGGAAGGGGAAAAAAAGTAGATACAAACAGAGGAAGGGAGACGAGCCACAAGAGACTATTAAATACAGAGAACAAACTAAGAGGATGGGGAGGTGTGGGATAGGGAAAATGGGTGATGGGCATTGAAGAGGGCACCTGTTGGGATGAGCAATGGGTGTTGTATTTGACCCAATTTGACAATTATATTCACACAAAATTTTTATATTCATAAAAAAATTTAAATTCATAAAAATTTATATTCATAAAAAAAAATAAAAGCAATGGGACAAATCCAATCAGCAAGCCCATTCATTAGGTTAACTATTGAGCACTAGTCACATCCTAAGAACCACTGGGGGTTTAATAGTGAACAAAACACAAAATTGTCTCCAAGGAGATTATGCTGGGGTAAAGAGGCACAGACAATAAACAAATATATAAAATATCAAGTGTTTACAAGTGCTATGAATTAAAGCAGGGAAGAAACTACTGGGTAAAAAGGTGTGCCATTTTTGAAAGGGTGGTCCAGAAAAAGACCTATTTGGGAGAAACTAATAAGGGAGCCTCAGACCAGGATGACTAGGGAAGGTGTAAGGAAGAGGAAGTAAAGATCCCAAAATCTGGGAGAGCCCTTACTAGGAAAGTTAAGGGCAGAAAAAGATAAGTTCTGGAAAACACCCCTGAGATGACGAGGGACCCAAACAGGTTAATTTCGGAGGGAAAAATGAATGGAGAAGAAAAGGCGGCAGCTCCAACCCTGGTCCAACGTGTGCTGAGAAGTCTGAGCGTAGCGGTAAAAAGACATTCATCCACAGTCAGTGCAGGCTGCCCGAGTTGGCTGTGGGAAGGTCGCAAACCCAGAAAAGCGTGAGCGTGGGAATAGACAGGATGAAGTTCTGAAACCCAGCTAAGTACGGCGGGAAGCAGGGGTCAAGGGCCGGGACTCTGCCATGTGAGTACCTTTCTCTTACGAAGGGGCACAGCCTTGTTGGGGTCCATAGCCAACCCCATCTCGGCCAGGTTCTGCCGCACGGATTTAGCGTGGTCCCAGGCATGTCGGATGTGGGAGCTACGGGCAAAGAAAGAGATCACGGAACCGTCATCTCGCAGGCCGTCTCACCAGAGGTCCCCCGCCTCCTAAACCCCGGCCCCTCACCACTCGATCCGCGGCGCTGCTTTCCGTCGAGCATTTCGGTTCAGACGCTTCCGGTTAACATTGTAACCGAACTTCTGTCTCCTCGTCTTCCCCTTGGCCTTGGGCATTGCGGTGACCACGGCACCGGCAACTACAACTGGGCTCCTCTCACTCGCAGCACCTCGTGCAGCAGACTATTTCCGGCATATGCGCGCCAGGGCTGTGCAGGCTTTTTGGGAAACGTAGTTCTCCCCTTAGCGATATCGTGCAGTTTACCACGACTCCCAGAATGCAATGAGCGGTTAGCGCCTGCGTACAATGCTCAGCAAAGTCCTTTCCCCCGCCCTTTTCATGACCTCATCAGGAGGCGGGGTTTAGCGTCCCTATTTTCTCCTACAGCTGTTGCGGGGACATGGCGGTTCCTGGCCCTGTGACTCCGGAGGCACCCTTTGAGCCATCACAGCCCCCGGTCATTGAGGGCTTTAGCCCCAGTGTCTACAGCACTCCAGAAAGCTTCAAGGAAAAATTCCTTCGCAAGACCCGCGAGAACCCGATGGTACCCATAGGTAAGCAGGTGTTGTAGGAACTGTAGACCGAGAGGATAGTGATGTCTGAGGGAATGAATTAGGGGAGGACCAGGAAAGCCAAGGGGGACCTGAGTGAGAGTGGACCAGAGTTGTGGCGAAGTGGCCGGGCGGTGAGGGGTGAATCTGATTGGAGCTGGGCGGGATTGGGGGGCGCTGAGGTGGGGCGAGCCCTATAACTAGGAGGACCCTACCTCGACCAAATCCTCCCACTCGGCTCCACCCGCCTTCCCTCGGTCTCTCTTCTGAGCTCTCCACCCTCTGGTAGGAGATCCAAAGCGGGGAGAGGCCTACGGGGTCGAAACCTGCCACTCCGTACTTGCTTTGTCCCTTCCTCAGGCTGCCTGGGCACGGCGGCCGCCCTAACCTACGGCCTCTACTGCTTCCACCGGGGTCAGAGCCACCGCTCTCAGCTCATGATGCGCACCCGGATCGCTGCCCAGGGCTTCACGGTCGCAGCCATCTTGCTGGGTCTGGCTGCATCTGCTATGAGGTCTCGATCCTGAGCCTGAGACTTGGCCTTGAAAGTTCCGCAGAGATCATTCCCATCCCCAGGAGCAACCACCTGTCCTGTCACCTGACTTATTCCCTCATCTTCCCTGACAAGTCGGAGGAAGTGGCCAATTGTGTGACCGACACATGTTTTTTCAGGAATCTCAGATTCGGTTCAGTTTGGGTGTTGCATACTTCTATTTGTGCCTCACTTTCTCCACCTCCTACTTAATAAATTGATCCACTTGTAGTTTGGTGAATTCATTCCTTCTAACCCTCCAAAGTTTTTGGTCTTTAGTTTTAGGACAAAATTGTCTAAAGACTGCAGGGGCCCTTAGAAATCTTAATAGTTTAATCGTTCCTGAACTTTCCTGGTAACGATCACCTGAGGAACTTGCTAAAAGTAGAGATTCCTTAGAGTGATGTTATTTGAAAAAAACTGATCTGTCAATTTTCAAACTTACAACAGAAAACCTTCTTTCAGACTAGGCCAACAGCTGTGGCCCTGTCCAAGGCAGAGGGCTCTGCTCTCCACTTTACTCCTCACCCCACTCTCACCTGAGAGCACCTAGGGCTCCACTGATCTATACCATCCCGGCTTGATTCTTGATGCATCTTACAGAAAAGGAAACAGGCTCAGAGAAGTAGCCTGGTAGAGTGGTAAGAACATAGTCACAAAGCTTGTCACTGGTTTGTGTACCTACTGTTTCAGGGTTAAGGAAGAAAGTAGGCTGGGGACCTGAGCAAACTCTAGAAGAGAGGCAACCTATGAGTTTTGCATTCATGTAAAATCTCACACAAGTATTCCTGGACTGTGGTCAGATCCAACCTGTTGATTTGGACCCAAGTTCCTAACATGTATGACTTCAATTTCATCACCATCTGCAAGCTACTGGAAGGGAAAAGAGGGAGTATAGAAGACATACCCACTTTTTGAGCCCCATAACACAATCTAAATTGCAAAATGGAGGAGTGTGTGACTAGGGCCTACTAAGTTTCTTGTTCCCATCATGGTCTCTCAGTTGTAAGGCAGAGATTATAAATTTAAAGCTATATGTTGTGACCCTTGCCTCAAGATTCAAGGAATCAGTGTGGAGTAGTGAGGACTATGGCACTTTTAAAGATGAAGGCCACTATTTTTAGTGGTTGGTGGTACTGTGTTCCCCTAAAAAAGATATGTTGAAGTCCTAACCCAGTATCTCAGAATGTGATCTTATTTGGAAATAGGGTCTTTACTGATAATTAAGTTGAACTGAGGTCATTGCAGTAGGCCTTAATCCATTCTGATTGACATTGTTATGAAAGGAGAAATTTGGACAGAAAGACAATGCATAGATGATACGAAGATGAACTCAGGGCTGTAGTGATGCACCTACAAGTCAAAGAATACCTGAGGCTGCCAGAAGCTGGGAGAGAATTCTGCACAGATCCTTCCCTAGTGCCTTCCGATGGACCATGGCCCTGCTGACACCTTGATTTTGGACTTTGGACATCCAGAATGGTGAGACAATAAATGTGTGTTCTAAGCCAGACACTGCAGTACTTTGTAATGGCAACTCTAGGAAACTAATACAGTTGGTAGTTACTCAAATCTTTTTAAACATTGTGCAGGTCACAATGGCTTAAGCATAGCTTGTTTGCAACCTCGGCTGAAGAGGAAGAATGTATAGTCACTGATTATCCTAGATCTACAGAGGAGCACAGCTGAAGGAGAGAGAGCAGTGAGCCTTCCCCATCTAGAGGGTACTGGCCAAACCCAAGAAAGGAGTCTGGCAGCAGCCACCTTCACCAGCCTCTCACCCAGGTAGAGGGAGCTACCACCGGGAACTTCTGGTCTTGCCTCTTCCCTCCCACTTGAACCTTCTTACTTTCTGGGAGCCTTGGTGTCCATGGCTATATCAAGACAACAAGAGAATCCCTATCTCACAGGCTTGTTCAAGAATCAGCAAGGATCAAGGTTGCAAAAGCATTCCATTAGAGGTTGTCTTTCCTCCTGGAGAGGGAGGCAGCAGACATATACAAGTTGGGACACCCACTTCCAGCTGGGAGGGGTTCTGGGGGAATAGCCTCACCTTGTCTCAAGGCCATGAAGCTGGGAAAGTTCTAAGCACAAACTGAGCCCTGACACCAGTTATGGCTTCCGGAGAAATGAGAATGATAATAAATAAGTGTAAAAAGAGTTAACAACACACCCTTTAAGCCAAGAAAAAAAAAATACGTCAGGAGGGACAGTCACAATTTTGTGGACTGAGAGGAGGTGTGAAGGGCTGGGCCACAGGGCTAGGAGGAAATGGGGTGAGAGGGGTGAGGGTTCCCTTCCCAGCCCCGGGAGATGGGGAGGAACGGAATAGGCTGTGTGTAGCAGCTGCTGGAGGTGCTGCCCCCCCTGGCTGAAGCAGCTGCTCCTCCTGTGCCCAGGCCCAGCCCATGCTTTGTGGCCATGCTTGTAACAGGCACCTAGCGGGACAGCGGCGTCTGCTTCAGGGACATGAGCACTGAGCGCAGGCGGGACACGTCTTTGCACTGCTTGCTGCTCTTGGGGTTGAAATCACACAGCTGAGCCACCTTCTCCCATTCTGTGCCTGGGGTCTCCTCCTTGGATTCCTTCACGAAAGCCTCCTCAGATGCCCTGCAGGTGGAGAAAAGACAGAGATTTCATTGCTGTCTGTCTTTCCCCTGAATCAGTGATGCTCTGCTCCCATTGAGTAAGCTGCTTTGCCCAGCCTACTCTTGGGTCCTCTGTCCAGAGTTAGCCCTGTGTCCTATGCCCTCAGGTCCCCAGAAACAGCCTTGGCATCAAAGGAAGCCTACTTTGGTCCTGCCTCAGGGCCTTTGTACTTGACTGTCACCTCTTCCTGGAATGCTTTCCCCTATACCTGCTCGTGGCTTGTAGCTTCTTTTCATTCAGGTCTGAGTGCAGGCCTCACGTCCTCAGCAAGAGTTCCCAACTGGGGCGCCTGAGTGGCTCAGTCAGTTAAGCGTCTGACTCTTGATTTCAGCTCAGGTCATGATCTCCCAGTTCGTGAGTTGGAGCCCTGCATCAGGCTTTGTGCTGACAGTGCGGAGACTGCTTGGGATTCTTTCTCTCCCTGCCTCTCTGCCTCTCCCCTACTCACTCATTCTCTCTCAAAATAAAATAAAATAAAATAAAATAAATAAAATAAAATAAAATAAAAATAAGTTGTTGGGAATCCCAACAACTAAAGAACTTTGGAGGCACTAGTGTAGTACCTCAGCTATTTTAAACATTTCCAAAACCTTGACAGAGATAGGACATTGACTAACCACCTTACTAACTGGTTCAGCATTGCCTCTATGTTCTATGGACCCAATAAGTATTCCCCCAGAAAAGCATTCTGGTCAAATACACATAGAAAATGTAGTTAAAGAGGATCTTAAAACTGAGACTTTCAAAGCCTTGAATGTACTGATGTTTATCCTGAACCTCTAAGGTGGAGTATAAGATGCAGATAGAATCTACCACATTCCAAGCATATTTGACTATAGAACTCTTTTTAGCCCAGAATGACTTATCTCCATGGAACCACAGCCTGGGGAATACTCCATTGGAGTCTTTGCTTTTGGTTGGAATCAAGTTAGGATGAAAACTGGTGGTTTCTTCATCAGAAGTTCTGGTGGACAGTTCTAGAAGCCACTGATTAAGGAACAGTGGAGAAACAAAGTACAGTAAATACAGTGCAGTGGACAAAACCCAAATGTGGGAATCTAAGAAAAGGACAATAACTGATCTCCAGTGGAGAGGGCTGGGTCTATGTCTTATTTGGCCAGCAAGGGTCCCTGGAAATCCCCATTCCCCTCATGGCCCCTTCTGTATCTCAAGCAGGATCAGTTCTGCACATGTCAGGCAGGGAGCTCTTAGGTGATGCCTACAGGCTGTGCCAAGAATGAGCTGGCCCTGGATTAGGTGACGTGGCCCCTCCCTAGTGATCTTCCTTTCCTTCCATGTACTCATTTCCTTACCTATAAAGTGAGAATCAGCCTCCACCTTGCTGATCTCACTGGCCTGAGAATCTAACAAAGTGGTGAGTGTGTGCAGGCTTGGAAAAAGGCTATATGAGGTTGGATGACCAGTGGGGCTGAGGCATGCTGTCTTAGGAGCTGTCCCTTCTAGGTCAAGAGGCTCTCCTCTAACCTTGCTGTTCAAAGTGTGGTGCATGGTCCAGCAGCATTGGCATCACCATGGGGCTTGTTAGAAATGCAGAATCATGGCAGAATCATGGCCTCACCTCAGTCCTACTGAATTGGAATCTCCCTCCAACAGATCCCTCAGTGATTCATAGGCACAGAAAAGTCTGAGAAACACTGATCTAGACTCTTCCTCTCTTCAGGAGCCCCCTGGGCGCTATTTCCTCAAGCGCAAAAAGAGCACTCAACCACTTGTATATTCCCCAGCACCCATGCCCCTGTCATCCCACTCTTCTCTTTGAAACCTATGGATCCTGCTTTTAGGATCAAGTCCCAGCTTATACATCTGGCACAACAGGCATTTTGCAACTAGCCCCAAGCTGACCTCCCATCCTCAGCTCCCACCCATCCATCCCCACAGCCCCAGCACTCCACTCATGGAGGCTGCCCTTGTCCTCTTCTAGCACATCCCTTCCTTCTCATACTGAAGGTCCCGCATCTCTGAAGCCGCTCCTCCAGCAGACGGTGGCTCCTGGAGCTCAGTGTGCCCTTCCATACCGCCCTTATGACAACACCCTACTGACCATGAGCAACTTGGGGGGACAGGCTGTGCCTTATTCCTGTTCGAACAGAGACTGGCACTGGGCGAGTCCCAGTAAAAACTGGCTGAAAAACAGGTTGTTTCTCAGGTGGGTCCTCTGCTCTGTGGGAGAAGTGTTAGCCCAGACAGCATCAGAGGCCTGTCGAGGGTGAACCCAGAGTGAGGAACAGCAAATACTGGCACACACGCACGTGGCAGACATCACACATTCATCACTGCTTCTCCTTCAGCTTCAACATTCCCAACACATCTTCCAGGCTGTCACTACCAATCATTTGGGGGTGACATGAGAGGAAGCCTCTGCCATCTCAGGTCTAGATTAATCACAGTCCTAACTAGACTCCAAAGGGGAACATGTGAGAGGGGCCCTGGGTGGTCTAGGCAGGGTCTTGTCGCCAAACTTGGGCCGAAGTTTTGAGGAGGAGCAGTACACTTGGGGGCAGGACGAGAGAATGGGAGTGTTCCTGGGAGCATCTCTTCTTTATGCTTCTGACAGTCCATGTTTGGTTCAACAGAAGACTCCACCCCACCTCCCAGCCCTAAGAGGCCTCTCAGAGGGAGGGAGTTTGACTGTTTGCATTTGCCCCTCCCACCATTTGCCTGTCCCCGCTGGGATGGCCCGTGCATTCTTTCTCTGCTCAGATTTAGCAAAGCTGCCTCCAGGCAGAATAGATACTCAATAAACATTTGCCGCAGGGATAGAGGAGAAGGTCTGTGCCTGCACTAGCCCTGGAGTGCCACCTGCTCTGGTCATTGCCACCCCCACCTCATTTATACCCCACAAGCAGGAGACTCAAGAAACCGTGCCAGCCCCACAAGGGGTCCCTCGCCCTCTCCCGGTCCCTGACAGAGGAGCAAAGAAGACACGTACACATAGCCGATGATATCAGCATCTGGCTGCTGGTAGAATGCTTTGTCAGCGATCCTTGAGAGAGAAGGGTTAGGTGGGGGAAGACAGATGGCAAGACAGACAGGCAGAGGGTTAAAGAGAAAGGGAGACAGCGTTAGTACCTCCAGTTGGAGCGTGTTAGGAAGCACAGTTCTGTAACGCTTGGCAACTATCCACAACCCGGAGAGGAGAGCAGGGATCCTCCACCGGCCTGAGTGCCTCTTCTAAAACTGCACCGATCGTATTACTTGTCCTGTTCACAAATCTTCGGTGGCTCCTCACCACCCCGTCTATCCAGCCCTGTTATTGGAGGCCCTCCACCCGTGACCCCTCCTTCCTGTCTTCCCTCCTACCACTCCCTGACTCCCCGGTGCCTGAGACACAACATCCTTTCTTTCATACTGTGCTGTTCCCTGATCTAGAATACCCTCCCCCAACGCTGCCCTCTTTTCCCTAATGAACTTCTAGTCATCCTCCCAAGCCCAGGTCCTCAGACACAGAGGTCTCTCCTCCACCCACAGCCCTTGCTTCCATGGCCTTCTTGCAGAGAGCTCTACTGTTGAGTTCACCTGCACATGTGTGCTTGTCTCCTCTGAGCTCTTCCAGGATACCGACGGGGTCCTCAGCTCTGTTTCCCCAGGGCCCAACCCAGAGCCTGGCGTGCAGCAGCTTCTTGAACAGAAGTGCAGCAGCTTCCCAGAGCCAGCCTTTCCTTTCTGGGCAGGCCAAGTACCTTGAAGGACACAGCCTCAAAGGCAGAGCTGCTGGCCAGAGTCTCAGAAGTGGTCTGAGACCATGCCCATGCAGGTACCTTCTGGTGGGCATCCACTGCCTGCCTGCCCAGCATCCATCCGCCCCTTCCAGGAAGGGCCCCTGATTGTCTTTTGCAGGATCAGGCTGGCCCCACTTCAGTCCCTGTGGTTTGGGTGAGACTGACCTCATGCACACTATCGCTGGACTATCAGGGTCCCTCCCCCGGCACAGTCACTGGGCCTGGAATGGGCACAGGACCTACACCAAACCAATGAGGGTCAGGTTGAGGATTTCAGCTGAGCTATTGGGAGCAAGATGCTATTTTCACTGAAGTTGCCAAGAGAATGGCAGAAGCCTGGAGCTTCTGGTGGCCATCTTTCTGCCCCGTCCCAGGACAAGAGGGGAATGCCGCATGGAGAGACAGTAAAAGTGAGCACCAGTCCACTTTGTCGGAGCCCCTGAGCCTAGTGTACCTGGAGTCCCACCCCAGCCTTTTCAGTTACACAAGCCACTAACTTCCTTTTATTCTTTAGCCTCTCTGGGTTGAAGTGTTGCCATTTCTACAGGCAGTAAAATCCTCTACCCAGGTTGGTTCTTCACTCCCAGCCAGGCCTGTGCTCCCTGTGACGCTAACTGCTGGGCCCCGGACAGTCTGGCTCCCATGCCAGGGTCCTGGGACCTCTTCTGCTGACTGCAGAACTTGCTTCTCTCTGTTGTGGTAAGACGACAGTTCAACAGTGTACCACTTCTGAAGGACTCCGAACTCCACAGGCAGCTGAGGAAGCAGCCCTGAAGGTTTCTGCTTCTACTTCCTCTATGTTCTTGCCACTAAATCGGCATCCTCAAGACAGTTCCCATCCCATAACTTGTCTCACTGTCCCCGTGGCTGGCTTCATGTCCCCACAGCCCCCTCCTGTCTCCATAAATCCTCTCATGTCCCCACAGTCCCCTCGTGTCCTCACAGCCCCCTCGTGTCCCCACAGTCCCCTCAGGTCCTCACAGCCCCCTCGTGTCCCCACAGCCCCCTCGTGTCCTCACAGCCCCCTCGTGTCCCCACAGTCCCCTCATGTCCCCATAGTCCCCTCAGATCCCCACGGCCTCCTCAAATTTCTATAGCTGCCCTCATGTCCTCATAGCTCCTCTCACCGGTTGTTGATCTTGTTCTTCTCGACTTGTTCACTCTGGCGCTGGTTCCACTCCTCCAGGTCCTTTTTGGCTTTCTCCCGCCACTCCTGTTCTGTCACCTTGGAGGCAGCATCTGTGATCCCAACAGGAGAATAAGTGGCAGCTTTCTTGTAAGAATGTGAGAGCACAGCTGCCCTGGCTGCTTCTCCCCTTGGCCCTTGGCAGGCAGCCTCAGGGCCCAACCTCACCCAATACCCATATTAAGGCAGTGCAGGGGGAAGGGGGTCCTCTATCCTAAGGATTCCCCACCCCCCCCCACCATATCCCAAATAGTCTGGAGCTGCTCCGAACCTCAGCCTGGCCCTTACCCAGCTCCTGCAGCCGTTTCCTCTGCTCCTCTCTCCACTTGCGGATGCTCTCAGGTTCCTGAGTCAGTCTGTCAGCCTGGGCAATCGCCGCATAGCCGTCTGCTGGACCGTTAGCCTCCTAGGGCACAAATACACAGCAGCGTGCACAGCTCGTGCACCTGCCCCTTTGTCTCTGCTGCCTGACTGCCAAGACACCCCCTGCATCTGGATTTCCCAGCAGTCCCCAACAATCTCCCACCTGCTGCCTCTGGTGACTATGACCAGACCCTGCCTCTATACTTGCTGTGCCCTTTGCCAGCAATCTTCCCACTGGGGGACCCTGGGAAAGTCACTCAGCCTCCCTGTGCCTCACTTGCCTCATCATGAAGCAGGCTCAGTAAGACTATCCACCTTAACACTGATGTAAGGTTGAAATCAGTTTTAAAATGTAAAGGATTCGGAGGAACCTAGGTGGCTCAATCGGTTGAGTGTCCAACTCTTGATTTCGGCTCAGGTCATGATCTCATGGTTTGTGAGATCAAGCCCTGCATCAGGCTCTAAGAAAACAATGTGGAGCCTGCTTGGGATTCTCTCTCTTCCTCTCTTTCTGCCCCTCCCTTGCGTTTGCCCTCTCTTTCTCTCTCTCTCAAATCAGTAAATATTTTAAGAATATATATTAAAAAATGGAAAAGATTTTGAACACTTCTTGGCACAGTGAGTCCCTGTGTTACTATTATTAAAGTCTCTCTCTATTACAATCTTATTCACCCACTAGCACTTACACAGTCTGAAAAAAAATCTCACTTTATGTTTGCTTGTCCATTGTCTGCCTTCTCCATCAGAATGTCACCTTCGTGACAGTAGGGTCCTTGCCTAGCCTGCTCATCACCCTGTCCTCTGTGCCCAGCACAGTGCCTGACACACAGAAGATACTCAATTAGCATCTGCTAAGTGAACAGGCAGCACTGAGATAGGCAGGATGGCCATGGCTAAGACTGCACAGTGGTATAAGCCTTGCTGGGCCTGTTTTTTCATCTGAAAATGAGAATAATAATAAAACTACTTCTAAGAGCTGTTGTGAGCATTTGACGTGACAGTATTTGTAAGACATTTAGAAGAGTGCCTGGGAGCGCCTGGGTGGCTCAGTCAGTTGAGTGCCTGACTCTTGATCTCAGTTCAGGTCACGATCTCATGGTTTTGCGGGTTCGAGCCCTGCATTGGGCTCTGTGCACTGACTGTGCCGAGCCTGCTTGGGATTCCCCCGCTCTTCTTCTCTCTCTGCCCCTCCCTCACTTGCACTCTCTCTGTCTCTCTCAAAATAAATAAATAAACTTAAGAAGAAGAAGAAGAAGAAGAAGAAGAAGAAGAAGAAGAAGAAGAAGAAGAAGGGTGCCTGGCATGGGGTGATGGCTCAATGAATGGTAGAATTATCATAATTATCATAATTATTCATTCTCATTTTATAGGGGAGGAAATTGAGGCCAGGAAAGATGGCATGCTGTAGTGGCAGGCATCCAGGCTTCTGACTCCCAGGCCAGGGCTCTGCCCACTTCCCTGTGCTGCCTGCCCGAGCTAGGGACTCCCAAGTGCTGGGGCTGAGAGCTCAGCCCAGCAAGGATGTGGTTCCCCTCTGGTCTCGCAAAGCCAGAAACCTTTTCCAGTCCAGCCCCATCTCCTGCCTCCTCCTCTGGCACTCTGCTGGTCCTACACATTCCAGTCTTCACACACCCCACACACTCCTGCAGCCCCGCCTCTGTCTCCTGCTTTAGCTGCAATTGTCTCCCCTCCCTTCTCCAGCTGATGAAATTTTGTTCCATCCCACGAGTTTCCAGCTCTGAAGTCACCAGCTCTGGGATATCCACCCCCTTGGCAGATTTCACACCCCTTCTTCTCTGTGCTCTATCATGGCCTTCACCTTCTGCACAAGAGTCTCCCCGCTGAACCCGGAGGTCCTGGTGAGCAAAGCTGGACCTTATTTATAGCCTCTGGTTCCCTGTTCCATCCTTCCATCGCTCCCTGTGCTCTTCCTTCAAGCACTCATCAAAAGTGTCAGGAACTTTGGTGTTTAATGTCTTCTCCCCACAAGACAGTGTCTGGGGCGCCCTCTGTCCAGGAGTGCTCCCCACTGTCCTTGGCACACATCAGTGCTCAACAAGCAGTGGCTGCATGGATAAATATCCCTGGAGCCTGATGTGCCCAGATCAGAGGAAGTGCTGGGTAAACGCTTGCCCAAAGGGGTGTGGGCAGCCAGGGTGAAGGAGCACACAGCAGGGAACAGGAGGGCTGCAGTCTCCAGCTATCTGGGGGGAGAGGGAAGGGCAGGCCCAGAGCAGGGTATGTAGCCTGGCACCTCCCTGGGCTCAGGCCCAGCCTTGGGTGGGACAGTTGGAACACTGCCCTATTCCTCTTTCCAGCACAGCATTACACTTCAATGTAGACAGTCTCTCACCACACCCAAGGGCCCTAATCTGGAGAACACAAGTTGATCACTAATGCTGAGTGAGCCCCACCCTGCCCCCTTTGGAACAAGACTGTCCTGAGGCCAGGCCGCCAGGCCTCCTGCCCAATCTTCTAGAATGTCCCATCTGCAGACAACTGCAGTTACTTTTGTGTATATGTGTTTATTCAGGTGCCGGGTTTCATTGTCCTCATGGCACTACTTGCTATCTGAAATTACTTGTTTGTTTACATGTTTACAATCTGTCTCCCACCTGCCCCAATCAAGTAAGTGAGTCCCAAGCCTACCTCTGTAGAGTACCTAAAACAGGGAAGGCCCGCTGCAGGATTTCTAGAACATTCATTGAATGAATTATCATATACTTGGGCTTGGGGACAGGGATGACTAAGACAACCCATTCCCTTAGGGAGTCTGGCATGGAGAGTCCCTCACAAATGAGGACCATGGCTGGGCTATGCACTATAACACAGGTCAGGTCAAGAGAGGGATCAAGAGAGGACACAGCCATTTTAGCCTGGGGGTATAGCAGGATGGGAAGAGACATGGAAAGGTCATTTCAGACCAGAGCCAACAGCATTAAGGACCCTGTGGGGCCAGTGCCTTTGGGAAACTCTGGGTACATTGATGCTGCCAGGCATGGGAGGAGAAAGGGTGGGGGGTGTGGGCTGGAGAAGGGTCTCTTGAGCAGGAATTGTGTAACACTGGTGTCCTTCAGGCCCACCATCTCCATAAAACCTGCCCTAAAATTAAGATTCCCAGGTTATAGTGCTTTAAAACTTACAGAGAATCACAATTAAACAGTTCTCTTTGATCTTTACAACACTACACGATGGATTTTATGATCGGTGTTTTACAGGTAGAGAAATTCTAGCTCTAGAGTCCCAGGGTCACCCAGCTGGGAACTGGTGGAGCTGAGATTCCAACTGAATTCCTGGGTGTGAACTTACCACGTAGCAGCAGGGACCGAAGTCACTTCTGTGTCACATGATTTGTGACACGCTTACTCGGTCTCTCAGATAAGTCTACTTGCCCAAGATTAGAGACTACGCCCACTCCTCCAAGTGACCCCCCCCTCCCCCCCCTCCCGCCCCCGGCCCATTCCTCATCTCTCTCACACCCACACACCTGTCTGCAGCAGGCCCCAGGCTCTGGGCAAGGCCCACACAGACTGCCTCACCCTCTGTACTTTGCACACACTTTCCTATCAGCCAAGACCACCACATGCCCCCGGGCAGCCTGGAAACCCACTTCCAGCATCCCCTCCCTATTGTACTCCCTGATTCAGTGCAGCACCTGGCCTGGTTCAAGTCCCAGCTCTTCCCAGCTGTCTAACTAGAGCAAGCTATTAAACCTCTCGGTGCGTCCTCCTCTTGGTCTGTAAAATGGGAATAATGACAGAACCTACATCATAGGGGTGTCGGGAGGATGAAATGAGCTTACATGTAAAGCTCTTGGGTGATGCCTGACACACTGTTAAGAACTCAAATTCCTCGTTGTTTTTTTTTTTTTAATTTTTAAAATTATTTTTTTGAGAGAGAGAGACAGAGAGTGAGCAGGAGAGGGGCAGAGAGAGAAGGAGACACAGAATCCGAAGCAAGCTCCAGGCTCTGAGCTGTCAGCACAGAGCCTGATGGAGGCCCGAACTCAGGAACCTTGAGATCATGATCTGAACCAAAGTCAGACGCTTAACCGACTGAGCCACCCAGGTGCCCCTTGGATTCCTAGCTCTTCATACCACCCCTGTATCTGAGCCTTACCATCCTGCACTAGCATCACTCCTCTCCGGGTCTCTGTCCTCCATTACAAGCGAGCTTCTTTGAAGAGGACAACAGCTGGTCGATTTGCCTTTACAAACGTCACCCCGAAGGGCACCTGGGTGGCTCAGTCGGTTAAACATCCGACTCTCGATCTTGCCTCAGGTCATGATCTCATGGTTCACAGGTCCAAGCCCCACATTGGGCTCTGAATTGACAGCGTGGAGCCTGTTTGGGATTCTCTCTCTCTCCTTCCTTCTCTGCCCCCCCTCTGCTCGCATGCACACACACACTCTCTCTCAAAATAAATAAACTTTCTTAAAAATATAAATAGATAATGAATGGGAGTGGCGACATCCCACTCGGAGTGTGAAGCAGGGCCCACATGGGATAACTGCTGTGGGCCCCTTGTAACCTGGAGAGGATGTGCATGTGTGGGGGCCAGCAGGGCTGTGTGGCTCACTGCTGGGGCCTAGCAGGCCCTGTGCATGCTGGCCCATGTTGCACCATGTCCAGGAAGAGCACCACAGTGCTGCCAGCACACTGAGTCCTGGGAAGTCGTTTACTGGCTCCTCTTCTCTGGCTGCTCTGTGGACTTATTTTCCCAACTCCTGTCAGTGAGCAGCGAGGTTGGGGGCCACAGCAGGGCTCCTCTTTAACCACTTGATTGTCCCAGAGAGGAAATCGGGTCAGCTGCAGGCTGGCAGCTCAGGTGGGCTCCCCAGTGGCTGCAGGAATGCTCTGAGCACCCCCAAGCTCAACAGAGAAGGGGGCAGGAATGGCCAGGACCAAAAAGCAGGAAGCCACAGTCAGGGCCAGGCTTATCTTGGTCCAGTTGCCCAGCGCCCCTCTTCTGAGAGACCTCTCTGCTGGACATCACCATGAGAGCCTCCCCGGGTCAGGATGGCCGAGGATGTGCTGTGACTCTGGAGACAGTCAGGAGGATGAAGCATATCCATCTTTGGGATTGTCCATTTAAAGCTAAGCTAAGCTGAGCCATTGATTCCTCTAAGTAGCTCAAAGGGGGATGATGGCAGTGAGTGGGGGGAGAGAGAGTTTGTGCAGGAGGGGGGAGTCCTGCAGGGGCCTTCTATCCTGTCCCTGGCGGTGCTAGATGGAACTGGAATAGGTGTGGGCAGACTTATCCTTATGCCTTGAAGACCAGGTTTATAGCTGGACCCCCTTGTGGTCTGGAGGCTGCCAGGAAAGAATAAGAAATGTAGTAAGAAAGCTCTGCCCAGGACACTTGACAGTGTTGGGCATGTACAAGCAAGGCTTCCCCCCGTCCTCCTTCCACAGCACAAACCAGACCCTGGTCTATACTCAATCCTAAAAAAGTCTGCATGGGCTTTCTACCTAAGATTCGGGGGCTGCAGCCAGCCAATTCCAGCACAAGGGGTTGGGACAAAGGGCACCAGATCAGGGGCAGGAGATCTAGGAGAACAGTTTTGCCACTAGGTTCCTGAGTGACTCATCTCATCCATGACCCCTCCCCTCTCCGTAATGGTTCTAGAATGGCATGGAGTGAAATGATTTACACATAAACACACCTGGATTATTAGCAGTGAGAATAAGAGTTCCATTGAGACAGGGAAGGAGCCCCAGGGTTCCCTATGGGGAATAGAAAGTAAGTCTGGGGGGCCAGAAAAGGAGAAGACCTCAAGATCCTAACCTATAGAAAGGGAAAATTATCTTTTTTTTTTTTTATTTAATTTAAATTTCTTTCAATGTTTATTTACTTTTGAGAGACAGAGCATGAGTGGGGGAGGGGCAGAGTGAGAGGGAGACACAGAATCTGAAGCAGGCTCCAGGCTCTGAGCTGTCAACAGAGAGCCCAATGCAGGGCTCGAACCCACAAACTGTGAGATCATGACCTGAGCCAAAGTCAGACACTTAACTGAATGACCCACCCAGGTGCCCCTAAGCATTGGCATTTCTTTATTAAAAAAAAAAAAAAATTTAATGTTTATTTATTTTTGAAGGAGAAAGACAGAGTGTGAGTGGGGGAGGGGCAGAGAGAGAGGGAGACACAGAATCCGAAGCAGGCTCCAGGCTCTGAGCTGTCAGCACAGAGCCTGTCGTGGGGCTCGAACTCATGGACCACAAGATCATGACCTGAGCCAAAGTCAGACGCTTAACCGACTGAGCCACCCAGGCACCCTGAAAGGGAAAATTATCTTGCTTATAGTGTTCTAAGTATTTCTGTGGTCCTAAGTATATCTCCAGCTCCAGGTCCACTTTAGGACACAGACTTTTTGGGTCAAGTGAAGTCCTTTTAAGTGTGCCCAGGACAGGGGCTGCCTGAACTCTATGACCTACCAAACTGTACAGGAATAAATGCTGCTTACTTGGAGCTCTCAGGCCGGAAGGGACACAAAGTTCCTAAAGTCCTAGAGCGTGACTTTTCTAGCTCGCCGATAGTTGAGTAATTTTCCAGAAATGGGACTTGGCTAGGTTCCTTGTGTAAGGTACCAGCCCATCCCTCTTACATAAGAAAGTATTGTTTATTCCCCACTGAGGATTTGGGAGGCCAGCTCTTCAATAGGGTGGGGCTCAGGAGATCCTGAAGCTGCAGCCCCAGGGGTCAAGGCTCTTTGACCCAGCCAGTGAGAATTAAGCCTCATCCAGCAAAGACTTTACCTCAACTAAGCATGGGTGGGGAGGGACTGTTGCAACTGTGGGGGTCCTGGGGATGCCATTTGTGGTCCAAGTTCTCTCAGTCTACGGACTCTTAAACCGATTTGTGGACAAATGATGGGAGGCAGTAGGCAAGTACAGAGGGCAGTCTGACTAGAAAAAGGTGGTGTGTGTGTGTGTGTGTGTTATAAGACTACTATGAGGAATTTTAAAACAATCCAGTGAAAGTGAAAGCCTTTTTCTTATCTCACGCCCAACCTTGGGGCTAACCACTGTTAAGCATTGTTAACAGTTGGTACACATCCTTTGAGATATTCTGTGCAAACAGATTTCTACAATAAAAACCTGGACCATACTGTGCATATTATTCTGCAATGGGCTTTTCTACTTAATATATTGTGGGCCTCTTTTTTTTTTTTTTTTAATGTTTATTTATTTTTGAGACAGAGAGAGACAGAGCATGAATGGGGAGGGTCAGAGAGAGGGAGACACAGAATCTGAAACAGGCTCCAGGCTCCGAGCTGTCAGCACAGAGCCCGACGCAGGGCTCGAACTCACGGACCGTGAGATCATGACCTGAGCCGAAGTCGGCCGCTTAACGGACTGAGCCACCCAGGCGCCCCTGTGGGCCTCTTTTCATGTCAATACAGAAAGCTCTGATTGCTCTTTTAAACAACAGCACGGTTTTCCAGTTTACCTACTCAGTCCTTTGATGCTGGACACTTAGGTTGTTTCCAGTTTGTTTTTTTGTTTTTTTGTTTTTTTTAAACTTTTTATTTGAGTGTAGTTGACATACAATGTTACATTCGTTTCAGGTGTACAATTTAGGAATTCAACTTATGTATATGTTATGCTATGCTCACCATATAGTTTGTCTGCTCTTATAAACAGTCCTGCAGGGGCACCTGGGTAGCTCAGTCAGTTAAGCATCCGACTTTGGCTCAGGTCATGATCTCACAGTTCGTGGGTTCAAACCCCATGTCGGGCTCAATGTTGGATTCTGTGTCTTCCTCCTTCTCTGCCCCTCCCTCGCTCATGCTCTGTCTCTGTCTCTGTCTCTGTTCTCTGTCTTTCTCTCTCAAAAAATAAATAAACATTAAAAAAATAAATAATCGTGCAAACATCTGGGAGTATGGGAGTCCTTGTCCAATTCTTTCCTTAGGGAAATTTTTTTTTAATTTTTTTAATGTTTATTTATTTTTTGAGAGAGAGAGAGGCAGAGTGTGAGCGGGAGAGGGGCAGAGAGACAGGGAGACACAGAATCTGAAACAGGCTCCAGGGTCTGAGCCGTCAGCACAGAGCCCGACATGGGGCTCGAACCCACAGACCGTGAGATCATGACCTGAGCCGAAGTCAGATGCTTAACTGACTGAGCCACCCAGGCACCCCTCCTTAGGGAAAATTCTAAGAAGTAGAATCAGTGGATCAAAGATCTGCCCACTTAAAATGCTCAGACATGTTAGAGATGGTCAGTTCAGCCTCCCATCCATGGTACACAGGTGTGCAGGGCCCAGTGTGCATCGTGCCACTGTGGGCCACTTTATCTCTCTCTCCCTGATGGACATCACCATCGGCAACCTGAGGCCATGCACCATCAATCCCTGTCTCTAGTGGTTCTTATTCTTCACTCCCTTCCCCTACACAATGGGAAGGGGGAAAGGGAGGAAGGGAGGGAGGAAGGAAGGAAGGAAGGAAGGAAGGAAGGAAGGAAGGAAGGAAGGAAGGGAGGAAGGGAGGAAGGAAGGGAGAAAGAAAGAAAGAAAGAAAACATGTCAAAACCCTCATCTATATTCCCCATCCCAATGCATCAGACATAATGACCAGAATAACTTGCAGCCTTAATCCTTCTGATGATGGGGCCATAAGTTTTTGAGACCCAGGCTGTTGGTCCCTACCACGACTAACACAGAATCTTGCTTACCTGAAACACATCTCCATTGATGGTGGTCCCCATGTCCTCAAAACCAGCTAGAAAGAGAACAAAGAAATGGCATTATTCATAGCTCAGCTTAAAGCAAGCACAGAATGGTTCTACGTTAGCTCCCTGAGCCATCCTCTGCCTATGCTCATCTGTGTATTAACACCCCCTCCCCACGTAGACATACTGGATGCATAAATAAGTTGGGCTCTATCCATGACTGTTCATAAATCCTTCTCACAGCCGTTATCACATTTGATGGTCACCACAACTTTGTGATGATGTTATCAACCCATTTTACAGATACTCAAACTGAGGCCCAGAGAGGCTTATGATTGCCAAGAGCCACCCAGCCAGTAATAGCCCCTCACCTACCTGAGATTACTTCACCCTCGGCCATGGCTAGGAATGGCCTGATTGCCTGTGGAGCCTGTGCCTGGTGAGGAGATAGAGGTGCTGTAGGCTCAGGGCGGTGTCTGTGAGAGCTAAGGAAGAGGGGCCCAGCGCGTCCCTGCCTGTCCCTGCGATGCCTTGAGCAACTGCTCCACCTGGAAGAGCAGGAACTGCAGCCCCCACCAGGCAGCACCTGGCCTATTTTTCCTCCTTCCGCTCCTCCCAAAAGGATTTTCTTTTGCCCTCAACAATGACTCCTCCTGGTCCCTTTCCCTGACAGCTGATTAGTCACAAATTCCTGTGGCTTTTGCTGCAACAGTGACCTTCAAATTTGCCCTCTGCCCTCTGCCCCCTGTCCGCTCTATCTGCCCTGTTAGTGGCAAACACCTAGAGGGCCATACTTGTGTCCTTTCTCCTCCCCACTGTCTTCTCCAGAGGTGGGCACAGTAAGAGTTCAGAGACGTGTGTTAAATAAACACGAATAAAACATATCAGAAAAAGAATGGATGGCTTTTGTCCACTCACAGGCCTCCCTGACTCCAGTGTCACACTCTCCCAACCCTCTTTCAAACCATCTGCCAGGGTTGATGTTTTGTAAAGCATACACTTACCTATGTCACTCTTCTGATTAAAAATATAATAAAAACAAACCAGAAAAATATCCACCTCTCATGAACTGCAGTGGCCCGTAGGGCCTGCTCCTGCCTTTGGGACTGCTCCCTCTGCCTGGAAGGGCTTCCTACCCATAGCCACACAGGCTGTTCCCTTACTCTCTCTTCAGCCTCTGCCCAAATGTTGTCTTATTAGAGGCCCTCCCTGACCACCCCAGACATTTACCCCTCTGGCACCGCTCCCTCCTGCCCCTGCAGTATTTCTCTACTTACCCCTCGGCCTGATAGGCTTTTTTGTGCATGTGCCTATTATGCACCTTCTCCACTTGAATGGACCCTCGTGAGGGCAGGGACTTTGTTTTGTCCACTGCTGGGGCCCAGCATCTAACACAGTGCGTGGCGGGGCGCCTGGGTGACTCGGTCGGTTAAGCGTCCAACTTCGGCTCAGGTCATGATCTCGCGGGTTTGTGAGTTCAAGCCCCGCATCGGACTCTGTACTGACAGCTCGGAGTCTGAAGCTTGCTTCAGAATCTATGTCTCCCTCTCTCTCTGCCCCTCCCCTGCTCAGGTTCTGTCTCTGTCTCAAAAATAAATAAACACTAAAAAAAATAATAAAAATAAATAAAATAAAATAAAACCGTGCCTGGCACATAGTAGAGGCTCAATAAATATTTGTTGAATGAGTACGTCAAACCTCAGACCATAGTACGTGAGAACCTCTACACTCTGGCCCTGCCCACTTACTTCCCTGCCTCACTTCCCACCAGTCCCTCTCACAAAACCTATTCTGGTTTCCTCCTTCTCCAAACACAGCAGTCTGCACCCCATGACTTTCTTCCTGCTTCTCTCTCTAAAGAATGCTCTCTGGAGCCATTCTCCAAAGCCCAGCTCACAGGTCACCTCCTTTGGGAAGCCCTCTATCACTTCCCCTACTTCCCTAGACACTGATGGAAGGTTCCAGCTCTGGGATATCGCAGAATATTGTATAGCATCCCCCACACTCTTATGCAGTTATTTGTGACCTTCCAAGGGTCATGCACTCCCTTCTCAAGGCAGTCTCTGTATCGTGTTCAGCTCCTAAGGGTTCCTGCACAGAATGGGTGAACAGTTGAGCAGCGAGTGCCGGCTAAATGGAAGGTGAATTGCTCTTTTGGGCCCACTGCTACCTGCAAGGTCTGCCTAAGGCATCTCAGAAACTGTGATGCCTCCTGCCAAAGATCCACAGGAGGCCACACCAGCTTCCCACAGATAGACAAGTACCCGTTTACCAGCCAGATAGAGCTGTAAGCAGGAACCACAGTGATTTCAGCCTGGGGACTGAAAGGAGGGATACTTAATCTTATGGAAATAATCCCTGGTTGATATACATTATAATTGACTATTTTCAAACAGTGATTGCTTCTGACCAACTATGTCAGCTGTCATTCCTACCCATTCAGCTAGGGCTTCTGCTATATAGGTGGCCTCATCCCTCAGTCAGCAGGGAGCTGATGGAGTTGTAGTGGCAGCATCTTCTGTGTAGGGCCTTCTCCTGGGACATCTCCTCTACCAGGGCCTAATGCTATCAGGGTACATTCATGATTATGTCAGTCTGTTCACTTGGCCTTTCTGGAGGCCCCACCCCACTCTGACCAGACCAGTCTCAGGTCCCTGGTCCACCACAGTCCTTGTGCCTACCTTGGCCTTTCAAAAGTCTCTGCCTCAGTTTCTCAGTCCCCTGACTGCTCCTCTGGAGATGAAATTTCAGGCTCTTCGAGAATCCACACACACCCACACACAGAATTGAGTATCTGTTCCCACAATGCTTTCTGATTATTGTACATTTATAATCATATGTCCGTAGTCAGAGGCCTGCAGACTAGAAGTGCAGCAGATATGAGTCCCACAGATAACCCTGTGGGTGTTGCTTCCCTCAGATTCCTGACCCCTTTTGGAACAAGGGCAGACAGGGTCCAGAACATTCCTGGGAGCTTACTGAGGCCCAAAAGGGGAAACAGGCTTGCCAGGAACTGACTGGGCAAGTCAGGGGCAGAGCCAGGCCAGGGCTCAGAAATCTGGGTGTGAAAATGTAAACCTTCTGGGGCCCTACCCAAGGCTGATGAATGGAAACAAAGTGTCCATTGCTCAGGCTGGCCACAGATCCAGCCCCAGAGGAGAGGCTCAATGTGGCTGAGGTGCAGGCCTATATCGGATACCTCTTTCCCCAGGGGTAACAGGGAGTCCAACGGCAGGGCAGTCAGCACAGTGGCAACATCTAAGAGAACAGCCACAGAAGTGTTGATTGGTGGCAGCTCCGGAAGCCAGCTTCCTCCAGCTCCCAACAGGCCAAGGCACTTTTTCTCCATCCTACCCTGGCTTCTGGCACTATCGCTGGTTAGGAAAGATTACTTGCTCAGCACCATCTAGGCCTAGGAAGGTCAGATCAACTCCATGCTGTCTGGCCACCTACTGAGCCATCATCCCATATTACCTCCCTGATCTTCAGGTCCCACTTAGGAGGGCAGCTGAACATTTGCAGCTTCAGCAAGTATGAGTCTGGAAGGCCTTCAGAGGGCCATGTCTCTGCTTTTCTCCCTGCTACCTCCAGTCTGGGGTCAATCTGTACCCCACTCCTGCCACAAAGGGAACCTCTCATCCAGGCTGTAAGCCCCTGGAGCCCCACTGTCCTGGGATAGGCCACAACCTGCTCAACTCCCAGACGCCTCTGGCTGTCCTTAGCCTAGTTTCTACCTGCCCTTCTCTCTCAGAGGGTTCTGATAACAGCTCTTCTCAGCAGGGCCTCCTGCAGGCCAAACCAGGTTGAAAAAACTGGTGGTTTCAAGGAGGAGGTGTGGACTAATGAATACTGGTGCATGACTATAGGCAGGCATTTCCTAGGAGTTCCCTGGAATGTGTGAGCATCCATGATGAGGTGCTAGGAGCTGCTGTTTGAGAAGACTCCACTCTTGGCCTGGTTGGGTCACAAAGCCACCCCTCCATCCCATTACCTCCTAGGGTGACGGCCACATCATTTGAAAGAGTGTGGGGCCCAAAGTTGGGAGGGTTAGGATCAAGTCTCAGATCTGTCACTCATGGCTGTGAGACTTTGGGCAAGACACTCAGGCTCTCTGGGCCTCCAGTTTCTTAGATGTTACAAAAGGCTTGTTTCATTTCTTTTATCAATGGGGTACTGAGATGCTTCAAGCTCCTACAGCCACAGAAACTGTCCTATTCATTTCTATATCCCCAGTGGTCCTGGCACACGGTAGGCACTCAGTAAAGGTTGAATAAAAACAAATATGACGATAAGGAACATTTTTTTTTTAAATTATGTAAGCTACCACTAATTCCAACAGGCCCATAAACCCCAACCAAAATGAAAACATTAACAAGAAGCACAGGCTGTTTTGGAGGCACCCATGAAGGTATCTACTTTTTAGCTAAATATTTTAAGAAACTGTTCTTTCCAGCCAGAACCAGAACAGGAGTATCATTGATAAACACGCTATCAAAGGGACCAGACCCTGGACCCTGATTCTAAAGCTAACCACAGTAGCCCTGGACCACCATAGAAAACCATTAATAGACAGTTAGAAACCCCCAGGAGGCTAGCACCACATCTGACTGAAGCCCTTTGTGCCCCTACCCCCACCTTGGTGTCTAACTCAGAGCCAGGCATATGGAAGACAGTGTGGTCAGGTGGAGAGGGCTTAGAGTCTGACAGAAACAGGTTTAAATCCTCACTGCCACTTACTAGTTGTTTCAGTAGTGTACCTTTTGAGCCTCAGTTTTGCCATCTCTGAAATGGGTTTAATAATGCATAGGAAATGACTAAATGTAAGTAAAGTGACTAACCCCCTGGCTGCAGGATGGCAGGTGGTCCCCAGGAGAGGTTTGTGAGTTCTTGGTGCACTGAGCGTCCTCTGCTTTTGCCAGCTGTAGGCAAGAGCTAGGACTGAGGAGCTGGGAGGTCTGTGGTTCTGCCCACACCTGCAGGGCTTAGCTGGGAGTCTGGGACAACCAGCCAAGGGGGGAGGTTCAGAAGGGACTCTCAGGGCCAGGTTATGTTGGATTCCAGAGCCAGGCAGTGGTGGAGCTGGCCCTGGGATGAAATGTCATGACAAATTCCTGTCCGTGGAGCCACCAGGTCCACAGCCGCCAGGCAGGGCCTCAGAATCCAACAAGATTCCTCCCCATATCTACCAGGTCCCTCTCAGCCCTAGGCCTGCTCCTGGCTGGCCACAGCAGGCCCTTTTCTCTCCACCGCAGGGCCCCGAGGCCGGGTCTGCGCGGCCAGGTATCCGGGTGCGAACCCCAGGCGCCCCCAGTTCCCAGGCCCCTGTACTGACTCACCCCCACTCGCAGGTCCCAGCTGGGAGAGGGCCGCATGGCTGCCGGCAGGTGCCCCGAAGCCCTCGTCATTCTCTATGCCCGCGATCTCACTCTCCTGCTGGGCCAGGAAGGCAGCCGCCGGGTCCTCCTCCGCCGCCTCGGGCGCCCCGCTCTCCGACGACGAGAAGAAGCCAAAGTCATCAGCCATTTTCCCCGCGTCTCTACTGAAGCGTCCGCCTGGCGCTCGGCTCTGCCCGGCGCGTGCCCGGCGCTGCGCCCGGCGGCCGCGACACTGTCACCCGAGCCGCCCGGGAGCCGGCCTCGGCTGGGACTGGCTCGGCGCGGCGCGGCGGCCCCGCACTTCCTCTCCGCCACCGGGCCCGGCTCGCCTGTCACTGCAGCTGCAGGCGGGAGGAGCCGGGACGGGAATGCGGTGATGTCACCGGCCGTGGGAGGGGGCCCGCAGCGCGGCCGGAGGTCGCCTCGCAGCGGCCACAGGAGGGCGGCAGCAGGACGGTGGCGCAGCCCCAGGGGCCAGGAGGCCCCGGCAGCGCTCCCGCTCCCGGCTGGCATTGCTCTTTGCGGGGACACCAAGACGAGGCACAGCGCCCGGCCGGTCTAGAGGCAAGCGGACCGGGCAAAGCGGCCGGGGTATGAACAGCTCCGACCGCCAGAGTTTGCGTCGCCCGGCTGGGCCCCTACTTAGGGACCTGGCCCCTTAAATGTTCTTCAGTATGAACTGGTCTGAGAAAGACCTATTTATCCATCTCAGGCAGGCAACCCCGGCCTGGGGAGCACCGGGGCGGGGGGCGGGTGGGTAGTGGCTGCGCAGACCTTCCTCCTGAGTCATTCTGCGGATTCTTCGCCTAAACTGGGCAGATATTATGAATCCCATTATTATGAGAGTCCCGCTCTATAAGAGGAGGAAAAGGAGGCTTGGAGAGGTAGACCCTACGTCCCACCGCCTCTTGCATCCTTCCTGCAAGTCCAGAGCATTCCCCACTAAGCCTTATTGCTCAAGTACATATCTTATGCATCTCTCTTCATTTAAGGCGGCTTCAGCTCAGACTGCCAGAGTTTGGATGACCTGACTGGGCCTCTACTTTACAGGCTGGGTCCCTTAAATGTCCCTTAAGTGTGAAACTGCCTAAGAACGGCAGACCTAATTTATCCAGGCGTCCTGCCACTGGTCCAGCCCTCCTGCCACTGGTCCAACCCTCCACCCTCAATAAACAGTCTCTGCCTCCTCCCTGCCAGCACTTGGCCAAGCACCAGGGCACCAAAATGTGGCAGAAAAAGCCAGCTTTGGCCAAGGAGAGATTACAGTCTATGAGACCAATAGATGATAAATGGCCCATCACAGCATCACATGTGAGGTGCTCTGACATTTAAACATTAAACATATAAACACCTTTAAAACTCTCCCTGGGAGACTCAGAGAACCACCATCAGATTTGGACATTGGGATTTTTCTCTTTCTGATTTGACACTTGAAAGTCAACTATGAACTGGAAAAGAGAAAGAAAAGATGCGCCCTAAACTGTGAGTAGTGGTTCCCTAACGGGTGGCGAGTAGAAGCAGAGTTAGGGTGAAGGGGAATTTCTCTCTCGCTCAGTAATATTTCGATGTAGGCCTCAATCGTATAATGAGAAGATAGTTGTTTATAAGGAGTGTAAAAAAGAAAAAAACTTAAATTCCTGCACAACCCAATCCAAGCACACTACTCTGCCGTCATATGTCTCTTGTTCCCATAACCCCAGGCTCAGGTGCTGTGAAGACCTAGAAAGTTTGCTAGTTTAACAAACCAGCCATAAATGTCCACTGCAGGTTTTGTGGCTAGAGGAGAGCTATGAACATTGTGTCCATTGTGACCTCAGCAGGCTATTCTTATTTGATTCCTAGAGACCTCAGTCAGTAATGTAGGCAACACTACATAGCATATTCATGTGCAAAATCCAAGGCAGAGCTTCCTCCTTCCTTCTTGACCCTCCTAATTTAGCCGCCAGCAGCCTTTAGCTCCATGCTTACAGTTACACAAGTTACTGGTCTAGATTATTCTGTACCTTACCCTTCCTTGTTCTACATTAATATTAAAAATCATTATTTTTAAGACTTTTTTCCCTGTCCTTCTTAAAAAAAAGTTTATGTATTTTGAGAGCGGGGAGGAGGGGCAGAGAGAGAGAGGGAGAGAGAGAATCCCAAGCAGCCTACGCACCCCGGGGCTCGGTCCCATGAACTGTGAGATCATGACCTGAGCTGAAAACAGACGCTTAACCTACTGAGCCAAACAAGCGTCCCCAAAATCATTACTAAAGTCATATTTTGAACCATGTAGCATTTTTATGTGCTGGAGATTCCCGGTACCTTGATGCCCCCATGCACATCTTTGTAGACTTTTTAAGACAGCCCTACTTTTCTAATTCTCCACTCAATTGTGAAACTCAATAAAAGTCAAAAGAAATCAATAAAGTTGAGTAAACATATGAGGCAATCTCACAGAATCTAAATTTCAATTTATGAAGTCTAAAGTGGAGAAATTCTTAAAACTTTTTTAAGAGAAATTTTCAAGTGAACATAAGAATAGATCAAGAATCACATCCTCTGCTGACTGAGCCAGCCAGGTACCCCGATTTTAATTTTTTAAGGAACTGCCATAATGGTTTCCATAGCAGTTGCAGCATTTTACATTCCCACGAATAATTTCTTTTTTGTTTTGTTTGGATTGTTTGGTTTGAATTTCAAGGCTTTTTTCCCCCCTTTTTCCAACTTTTTAGTTTGACATAATTTCAGACTTACGGAAAGTTGTAAATAATTCCCACCTGCCTCTCATCAAGATTCCCCAAATGATAACATTTCATCACATTGCCTTTATCCTTTTTGCTTCCCCCTACTGTTGGAGAGTAAATCGCAGAGCTGATGCCCCCTTTATCCCTAAATATTTCATTGTTTTCCTAAAAATAAGCACATCTATTTACATAACCACATTATAGTTATAAAAATCTAGATATTAATATTGATATAATACCATTATCTAATTGACATAACTTAGATTTTACCAAATGCCTCGATAATAGAGGAAAAGAAAATCTCAGATTATGCATTGCATTGTTATCTGTTTGATCTATTTTAATCTGGAACAGTTCCTCTCTTTGCCTTTCATGACACTGATGTCTTGAAGATTACTAGCCAGTTATTTGGTCCTTCAACTTGAGTTGTCTTATGTTTCTTCATGGTTAGAGTCAGCTTCAACATTTTTGGCAGGATTAGCGTGGATGTGATGCTGACTTCTCAGTGCATCATATCAGGAAGCACATTATGGGCTTTTGTCCAGGTACTGGTGATATTAACATTGATCATTTGGTTAAGGTAGTATCTGTCAGGTTTCTCCACTGCAAAACTGTTTTTCCTTTTATAATTAATAAAGATCCTGTGGATAGGTATATTAGACGATGCAAATTTTGGGGTGCCTGTGTGGCTCAGTCAGTTGAGTGTCCAAAAATCCACCTCCCCTACTTGCGCTCTGCCAAAAATAAATAAATATATATATATTTTTAAAAGTAATCTGTGGTAACAGAAGGCAGTAGCTGCCTGGGCAAGGGGTTGTAAATTGACTGAGAAGGGGCACAAGAGCATTTTTTAGGGTAACGGATATGTTTCATATCTGGAGTGTGCTGGTAGTTATATAGGTATACATATCTGTCAAAACTCAGGGAGTTGTACACTTAACCCGGATGTACTTTATCAATTATAAATTTGACCTCATAAAATTGATTTTTCAAACAGACTTAAGCATAAATAAATGCAACGTGGAGGCATTGTTTGGATCCTGATTCTAACAAGTCAACTGCAAAAAAATTTATAAGGCAATCCTGAAAATTTGACTATTGACTGGATATTTGCTGATATTGATATTGTTAAATTTTTTTAAGCTGTAATAACCATATTGTGGGTCTATTGAAAGAGAGAAAAGAATTCCTTCTCTTTTAGAGAAGTACTTATGGATGGATTGATAAGACATGTGAACTTTGCTTTAAAAAGAATTAAAGCACAGGACAGTGGAAGGGGTGTGGATGAAACAAGTTTGGCCAAATGCTGATAAGTATTGAGTCTGGGGGATGGGCCCCGTGGCATTTACTACGTTAAACAATTAAAATTTCATTATTGTACTTTGTTATCACTTCCACATTTGTACATGTGCTGTACATATTTGCAATGTGTTGACCTTGTTTGGATCCTAAGTGAGCAAACGCACAATGAAAAGATACTCATGGGACAATTGGGAAAATTGGAATACCCACTAGCAAACAGCTGACATTGAGGAATTTGGGGAGAAACTTTTTTGATGTTATAATCGTTCTGTGGTTGTGTAAAAAAGAAGATAACGATGAAGGTGGAGGAGGAGAAGAAATTGTAGCCATTATGATGATCAAACCTGGCACACAAATCTTGGTTTCTTCATCTTCCACTCAAAGGTACCAGGAGTACTTGTTGAGATGGCTTCTTTTTTTTTTTTTTAATTTTTTTTAACGTTTATTTATTTTTGAAACAGAGAGAGACAGAGCATGAACGGGGGAGGGGCAGAGAGAGAGGGAGACACAGAACCGGAAGCAGGCTCCAGGCTCTGAGCCATCAGCCCAGAGCCCGACGCGGGGCTCGAACTCACGGATCGCGAGATGGTGACCTGAGCTGAAGTCGGACGCTTAACCGACTGAGCCACCCAGGCGCCCCTCTTTTTTTTTTTAAATAAATATTTTTTAAGTTTATTTATTCTGAGAGAGAGAGGGAGCATGGGAGAGGCAGAGAAAGAAGGAGAGAGAGAATCCCAAGCAGGCTCCGCACTGTCAGTGTGGAGCCTGATGCGGAGCTTGAACTCATGAACTGTGAGATCGTGACCTAAGCTAAAATCAAGAGTTGTATGTTTAACCAATTGAGCCATCCAGGCATCCCTAGAAATGGCTTATTCTTTTTTTTTTTTAATGTTTATTTATTTTTGAGAGAGAGACAGAGTGTGAGTGGGGGAGGAGCAGAGAGAGAGGGAGACACAGAATCCGAAGCTGACTCCAGGCTCTGAGCTGTCAGCCTAGAGCCCAATGCAGGGCTCGAACTCACAAACCACGAGATCATGACCTGAGCTGAAGTCAGACGCTTACTGACTGAGCCACCCAGGCACCCCTAGAAATGGCTTATTCTTAAGCCTAGAACATTTTGTTGTGCCAGAAAGTAAGAAAGATGATGAGGAGATAAAAACCAGGAGCCAGCTTGAAGGGGCTCCCACTGATCCAATCTTGGACCATTTGAGCACTAAAAGAAATAATGATAGCAAAGTATCACAGTCCATGGGATAAAATAAGAGTCTGTGAACCCATGTAGACTGAAACAAACAAACGTTTTCTTTGTAGTAGAA